ATGCTGCTGTCAAGTTTCTTTCTGTAGCAGGACTGGTGCCTTTCTGTCTGGGCCACCCTTTGTTTAGTGGATAAATTGTTGGGGGTGTCTGCGCAGGCTAACTGTTGCCTCTTACATTATGCCAATGTAATTAGCACCTGGCTGCTGCGTTTGCATTGTGTCTGGTGTGTGGGTTTTGTGATTTCGGAGTTACACTTGGCCAATGTACCCAGCAACCCTTCCTGTTTGGCCAAGTTGGCAATTGTGTTTTAGCAGCCAGGAGACTGCTAAACTGATAATTAATGGAAATCTGGGAAGTGAGCATTGTGAGTAATGTAGTTGCAACTAATGCAAGTGGAGAAGAGAGTAATTAAGGTGAGAAATAAGGCTCTTGTCTTGGAAACTCTTGTGAGATCATTGAATTTCATCTTACATTGCAGCCATAATTCCCCTGAACCTGATGGATTTCATCCTAGGATATTAAACAAGGTGATTACAGAGATAGGGGGTGGACTGTAGTAATTTTCCTAGAATCCTTTGATTCTGAAAAAGCCGTAGATGATTGCAAAGTAGGTAATATAACATTTAAAAAGGGAAGGAGAGGAAAAAAAAGACCAATAGACCAGTTAGCTTAATATCTGTCATTGGGAAAATTTTAGAGTCTAATATAAAAGATATAATAACAGACCATTTAGAAATACATAATATAATCAACAAGAGTCAACATGGCTTGGTGACGGGGAAATCATTCCTGACAAATTTACTAGAATAATTTGAGGAGAATAGATAAAGGAGAACCAGCGGAAGTAATATATTTGATTAACAAAAGGAGTTCATTAAGGTGCTGCATGTTAGGCTATTTAGTATAATAAGGGCTCATGGTATTGGGGATGGTATATTAGCACGGAAAGAGGATTGACTACCTAATAGAAAACAGAGAGTTGGGATAAGGGGGACATTTTCAGAATGGCTACTTGTAACTAATGGAGTGCCACGGAGATCAGTGCTAGGGCCACAGTTATTTACAATGTATGTTAATGATTTGGATGAAGGAAGTGAATGTACTATGGCCAAGCATGCAGATGACACAAAAAAGTAGACTGGAAGGCTAGTGGTGAGAATAACACAAAGATGGAAAATGGACAGATTAAATGAGTGGGCAAAAACTTGGCAGATGGAACATAATAGGGGAAAATGTGAGGTTATATACTTGGGCAGGAAGAATACAGAATCTGAATATTATCTAAGTGAAGGAAGAATGTATATAGTTACAGCATAGAGAGGCTTCAAGGTATTTTGTGCATAAATCACAAAAAGCTAGCATCCAAGTTCAGCAGATAATAGGGAAGCAAATGGACAGTTAGCCTCGTATCATTTCAGTTCTTCTATTTTAAATTTCTCAGTCTTGTTTTCAAATCCCTCTGTAGTCTTTTCCCTTTCCTAAATACATCTGAGTACATTAAAAACTAAATATAAATTGATGTTATTGTTATTGACTACAGCTGTATGCAATTTTACTTTAAGATGTGCTGGTTGTCTTTAAATTGAGCTAGTGAAGCTCAAGGTTGAGACATCCCCACCATATTTAAAAAGACAATCAACAAATAGCCCAAGTAGCCTAGCAGATCTGATGCATTATAATTTAATGTGGTCCTTGAGGTCACATAAACATTGTAAGCACAATGTGCCTTGGTCCCTATGCAACTATTTACATGCAACTTAGAACTTCTATGTCTACTGTCTCACATGTTAGTAGACACAGTGTGCGCATTTGAGATACTCAGTTATTAAATCCATTTCCACTTGAACATTTCTGATAGTTTTTTGAGGTTACTCAACAGAATCAATAACTCCTATTTGACTCCTATTTGTTCCCCTGTTGCTGTATGGCAAATATCAAACTGTTTCCCCTCTGGAATTTCAAGGTAGAAGTTGGTCTGCAGGATGTGATCACATTAAGCTAACGCTACAGGGAGCATTCCTCCTGCTGAGCACATGGTTTCTCACGTATGTCTACGAGCAAGGTCACACCTCATTGAGTATCCATCTCATTCTCTGTCGGTTACTATTTGTTGTACGAACACACAAAGAGTTGAAGCCGTATGAAATTTCTCTTTACTAGGGTAAGTCATGTACCCACGTATCAAGTACTGTCATGCAATCTGTGAAAAGCCATCATAAATACAGTGTGCACTGAGCTTCAGATTCATTGTGTTGCGAGAGAATTCTTCAATCTTTGAACAAGAGGCAAAAGTCAACTTTTAGCAATCCACCAACTCCAGAAAAATCTGACTTCCTCAGTGGAAACCAGGAAAAAATGATTTTATACATTTCTGTATATAGTATGGAGAAGTTGAGCAATGACACAAATATTTAGTTGCACACAATTAAGCCATGTTTCTGGTCAAATTAACTGCAGCAGTCCACCTAGATTTATGAATCTAAGGCAACGGCATTTCTACATCCATTCTGTGATAATCATGTCAATCGTAAATTAGCCAAAGTTGACCAACAATATGGGCCAAGAGCCGCAAAAATTCACTTGCATTCCTGTTGCACTTTTAATGAAGTAGAGTTCCTGAGGGTACTTCCCAAAAGCGTTATCAACAAAAATTGACACTTTGCCAGATGTTAAGACATGAAAGTTTTGCTCAATGACATTCCCTCACATACAAAATAAATCAAACTCTGTATTTGGTTCATTGGCAAATATTTTGCAGTCTATCATCAATTAGCCTCTGTGGCTGAGACATTATGATCTCATGATGATGCTTTGGGTACAGCCACTAGCTTGGAGATGGGTTTTCAGCACAAAATAATTAGTTTTTAATTATAGACAGTTTAACTATTAAAATAAGAGTTTTTCAGACTTTAATCCAACTCTGTATGAACCAAAATTTTCTGCTGAGAATTTAGCCCATCTGTGTGCAACTATTATTTCAGATTCAGCATCTGCTTTATAGTATTGTTTGGATTAAAAATTAAATCATTTTCAATGATAAATCAATTGAAACATTTACATTTCACACTCTTTTTCAGATAACACATTCAACATTATGGTTTGGAGCTCAGTGTCAGGGTTGGGATACCTTCTGGGGCTCAGTACAGAAGCTAGCATAAGATTTGGGTTCTGTACATGAGCTGAGGAATGCTCTAAGACCGAGTGCATCAGTGAGGTAGCAATGTAGTCTTCACTTTTTCCAGGACAGCTTAACGATCATTAGTTGGAGAGGGCGGGAGCTGAATGGAGGAATATGCTTGACTGCACTAGAAACTTAGTGAGATAGACTTACATCTGAATTGCTGTTTTATTTTATCTCCTGCCGTAAATCACTCACAGAAGTATTAGTTTCAGTCTTACTGCAATTAATATTATTATTTAAGCTATAATTATCATTTTTATTCATTGAAATTAACATTTTTAATCACACTTCAGTGAACTACTGAGTTTAATCATACTGCAGCTAATAGTTTAATCACAATGAATTGCTTGAAGTCCCAGAACCTTCTGTGCAGTCTGAGTTCAAATGAATCTCTCGCTCAGCTGTCTTCTGCTTCACCAAATGTCCCACATAATCTGAAAGCCGCGTAGAGTATGTGTTGAAGAACGCATCTCGGGTCACCTCTGAGGAGCAGATGCAAAATGGTAATGAATCATTTAATTAACAATATCAAATTACAGAGAGACAATGGTTAATGATCTTTCATCTTAAGTCCTATCAATGCTGCAATCAGACCATAAAATAAAATAAACACCATTGTTTAGA